TCCATAATTTTCTTAAGCTTGTCCTTTTTTTTTTTTTTTTTTTGCCTGTATCTGTTCTAGCGTCACTAAGCATGGTCTTTATTTTAGATACCATCTCTGCAGTTACCTGGGAGATTATTTCTGATTTGATTTTTTTCTAGAGCTTCATTCAGTTGCTTGTTGGTACCACTTCAGAGATGGCAGGTGGGATACTTTTCAAATTGCCCCACCTCATTGCTCCGTGGGTTTGCCTTTGGTGAACTGGATGTCTGGGGTTGCATCTTGTCTGTCTTCTCATTTTTGTTTTTTCTTTTTAGTTTAATTCCTAAGGTGATGCTTGTAAATTGCCTACAGTGGATTGCTTTATTATTTATAGGTAATGACTACTCCTTAGGTAATGACTACTTCCGTGAGGTATCTTCCAGGTGTAGCTGGTTTTTGGATTTTGAGTCTGTTGGAATATCATGCCTCTTCTATTTGTTGGAGATGAGAAGTTGTTGCTTGTTTGGCCCAGTCCCTGGTTCTTTGGCACTGTACCATAGTATTTTCTGTGACCCTTAGTCAATCTCAATCATGGAATACCAGGACAAACAGCTGTTTAGAACAGTTATGTCAGTGTTGACCACAGTGGTACCAGTAGCATCAAACACAGCCTAGAAAATGACACATTGAACTACCATTAATTTGCTAGTTTGAACTAGATTTGTGATTATATAACAAAATCTAAAACCATAAAGTTACATGCAGCATACAAGTCCTTAATAATATGTCAGTTTTCCCTCGGGGTTAAAATTTAAAATAAGGAGAAAATAGAGAAGTGAAAGAAGAGGAAGAAATTAGAGCTAAGAGTGGAGGACAGAGGGGAGGCGCACGGATGCTGGGAAGCGAGTGTGGAAGATGGGAGGGAGAAAGGGAAGAGGAGACGAAAAGGAAAGCAGCAGAAACAGCCACAGAGAGACCAGAGACCGCGTTCACACGCATGTAAAACAAGATCAGACAGTGAAAGGGGAAAAAGAAACAGGAAGCAGAAAACAAAGCAATCAACTCCCCAGGTAAAAAAAGGCCATTTCCAGGGTTTACTCCGCTTCCACTGGTAGACAGCCTGTGCAGACAGAGTCTGATCCATGCAAATCTATTCCAGCAAGCAGTAGCTTTTTGGTGGATAATGGATAATCTCAGTGAGCCTGCACTGTTTGGGCAAGATCAGAGTCATTTGACTGGCTAATCTCTGAGCACCTTCTGCGGGTCTCAGCCCTGCTGGGAACTGCTAGATGGAGCATCAGCAGCTCTGAGTTCTGAGCTCAGCTGACCCATCTCCCAACATGGCTCTAGGTCAGCCCCTCTCGCCTGCAGGACTGAACCCTCTGTACTCACCACCAGCCAGTGTAGTCGTTCACAGTCACTGCTGCCCTTCACTGTTGTGTCTCTCCGTGGAGGCCTCCAGGGTGACCAGCTGTCACCAGGAGTCCATGGGTTCGAATTGCTCCTCTCATGCGGTGATTCCTATCGCAGGGAGAACTTCAGTGAAGTCTCTCTCTGCACTCTGTCCATGGGCTCAATTCAGGCTTCAGATTCTTCTTGGGTCCAGGGTACCCACTTCCCTCCTTTTCATTTTCCTCATGTTGCTGTATCTGTCCGGAGGGCAACTCTCAGACAGGCTCTTTCTGTGCTACTTAATGCTTTGCCATCTTGGCCTCTGATTTGTCTTTTAGAGAGTTAGGCTATCTTTAATGTGATTCATATATAAATTGAGACACCAGTTATACTGCTGTGTAATAGACGTACTGGGAAAGTCTCTGCTGACAGGTTAGTGTTTACAGTTAAATTTGCCTTAATTTTATAGAATGTGCTTAGAAGAGGTTGATGTAATGAGTAAGGAGTTACTTAAACCTGGGCTCCCCAGCCTGTCTTCACAAAGGGGAAAGAGACGGTGGAGTTGGAACTCAGGTATTTTCAGTTGAACCACAGTGAAAAGTCTGTATGTGTTTTGGGCCATTATGAATTCTTGGCCTTGTGATTGATGATTCGTCCATGTTCTTGAGGCAGAATCTTGTTGAAACTAATGATTTTAAGCTTACATCTAGAAATCTTTGAGGACTGATAGTGTTTGAGTCACACTTAGTCTACTATTGAATTTCTTCCCCCCCTAGGTTTTATATTTGAAAGCTCACCCCTTTCAAGTATCACTTTTGTAGACACATATTTCTGTCCACACACCCCCCCCCTTCCCCCCCGCCAACAGTAAAGAGCTACTTGAGCTGCAGCCTTGCTTATATGGAGTTTTGAAAGGCTGGGTTTTTGTAAAGGGCGGGGAATATATGTATGTGGTCACTGTTCATGTAGGTTTGTATGCCGTATTGCTTTCTTTGGCCTTGAAAATCAGAGCTGTGTTTAACTAATCTTTTTTTAGTCTGTGCTTGCTGAGGTGATCCCCACCGTAAGCAAGCAGAGACCTGATGCAGGATCAGACTTCCTCCATGTTCCTTATGAGTCAGACACTGCCCTGGAGACTGGAACAGAGTTGAGTCCCAGAGAGCTGCTGCCCCAGTAATCCCCTGGATACTTTCTCAGCGCAAAGTGTCTCATTTCTCTCTTGATGCCAAGGCCTTGCTGCAAGGATGGAGCATCGTCAGCACCTGGCTGTCCCTCTTGATGGCTGAAAATCCTCAGGGCCACAGGGTACCAGCTCTCGTACATTTTTAGTAGAAGGCTGTCTTTGAGTGTAGAGAGAGGCTTGTGTGTGAAGTCTGTAGCTGAGATGAAACACTAAGGACTTTGCCTTTCTCTGCGTCTGGCTATAGCTACACCTCCAGACCTCTCTAGAACCTTTTTCTCAAGGCTGCCAACCTTCTTCCCAGGGGGCCAAAGGAAGGTTCAACAGAGAAATTCTTTCCATTATCTTGCTCATGGTATGAAAATGGCTTTCAGTGTAAGAAATCCCTGAACATTCTACTGTAATGTACAGTGTACTCCTAAAATTATCATACTTTACAACATAGTGCAAAAAACCATAGGGTGAAGGGAGGAATGAGGTCAGGCGTACAATATTCAGTGACTCTGTTGGTGATGCATACACAAAGATAGGGACCTTAGAAGGGTAGCAACTGCTATGTAGATCGGACACTTTTCCTGGAAGAAGACCTGGAGTTTGCCTGTGGGATGGTGTCACCATAGATGCATCTGCAAGTCACAGTGATGAGGAAGGAAGAGGGAAAATTGCCTGAAATCAAGGGGGAAATTGTAGCACCAGGTCTGGCTCAGAACCTGAGCCACAGAAACTGAGATAGTTTGTGTTTAGGTGCTTGAGGGGGCGGTGTGTGTGTGCGCGTATGTCTGTTTCTGGGCAGCTAGGTTGAGTGGGGTGCAGTTTTCAGTGTTTGCCTAGAGTTTTATGCAGACAAAATTATTCATAAGCTAATGTGAAAATCATTTTATGCTCAGATTGTCCCCTTAATATGCACATCAATCACATTTGGACAAATTTGTGTTTTCTTGTAGCAGAACTGGCCATACTTTATTTGATTTTTGGAATTGAGTCCCCTTTCTCCCTGTCCACCATTATTGATTTCTTAATATGTATTTAAGTTAAGCCAATATCAAATTGATTTTTCATACTCTGAGCACCTCTGGAGGAAACAAGCCTGAGATTTTAATTTTGCTAGAGATAATCCACAGGGAGTTTCTTTCTTGGTGAATATACCACATACTGAGACCTTTACCTGATGTCAGGCGTAGTGCTGGGGATACAGGGGTGGGTTGGACATAACCTTTGTCCTCAAGAGCTTAGAATGTGAATGAAGAATTTTGTTTTAAAGTTAATTTTATTGATATACTTTTGATGTACATAATGATCACATTCATCATAGGGAATTTGTCCCTATACATAAGATATTTTGATTCTTTTTTCCCTCATTCCCCTCCCTTCCCTTCAACCTTTCTTCCTCTGAGTGAAGAATTTTCAAAGCACAGATTTAAATATCTTTGTTGGCTCTTCTCAGATGGAATAGGTGAATCATTATGTATTTCTTTGTGATCATAGGAGCATACTTACAACTTCTGCTTCCTTGTAAATGCAAAAGCAGGAATCACAAAGGAAACATGCAAAGAACAGAAGGGGTTTTGTAGTTGAAGCCCTCCCATTTGATCCTTTAAACCTAGTAATTAGGTGGTCACTGTAGATCAATAAGTGAGAAACAACATCTTTCAGTTGAGTGTGTATAGTCAGATTTGATTCTTGCTAACCCCTCACATGTGTGTGCAAGATGTGTGGACTTTGTTGGTAAGCATAGACAATGTAGAAAGTTCTCCCAAATGGTTACTATTAGTTACCTTAGGGGACACAAGAAAGCTTATTAACTTCTCTTTTTATACATCCTTTATTGTTTGCTTTAAGAAGCATGGTTTACTTTTTTAACTAAAACTAATAAAGTAGGAAATGAATAAATAATAGTAATAAAAAATATCCTCTGGGCCCAGAGCTTTGTTTCAGTCCTCCCAGTAGCCCGGCTAGTTGAAACTGAATGTGCTGTTTCAGGTATGGGGTGTCCAACAGGGCTCTGAATGTCTTGGAGTAGTTGTAAGATGATACTAACGTTCCTGGCAGCAGCACCGTGTTGTTAGGGGATTCCGTGTCTCTAGACCATTTGTGCTCCAAATTCTATGCCATCAGCTACTCTCGGCACACTTTGAGCTCAGCAGTTATTTGGGACCCATGTCTATTCCTTGATGTTCCCTGTTAATTTTGCTCTTGTTAGCTTAGGTGAGAACTGACCTTGAATTCAGGCCATTAAGTTGACAGTAAGGTCTTTGATGCTGTGTGTCAAGACACTCACTGGGCACCTTGCAAACTGGGGAGAACATGGTATTGTCTGTTGTTACTGGCACATTAACCTCATCTCTCCCATATAGCTACTGAGATCATTTTGGACCTTGGATCTTCCCTTCACCATGTTCCAAATCCCTCCTACCCTACGCAAAGTCAGCCTTCTGAGCTTTCCTCACAAGACCCTTCTACTCCGCAGGTCCTTTCACGGATGTCGTCACCACCAACCTGAAGCTTGGCAACCCAACAGATCGTAATGTGTGCTTTAAAGTGAAGACCACAGCACCACGTAGGTACTGTGTGCGGCCCAACAGTGGGATCATTGACGCGGGGGCCTCAATCAATGTATCTGGTAAGTATGGAAACTGGAGGCTGAAGAGTGGGGCCAGGAGATCCCGGAGCCAGGGGCTTTCTTAAAGCTTGGAGTTTCAGTGGAGCATCATAAGGTGGTAGGCTTTTCTTCTACCTCCCTCGGCCTTCTGCTCATGAAAAAGCCTGATGGTCTAGCTGGAACATACACCGTAATCTCAGCACTTGAGAGGCTGAGACAGGGCAGTTGCCAGCCTGGGCTGTGCGCAGTGAGTTCAAGGTCAGCCTGAACTACATAGTAAGACCCTGTCTTTAAAAAACAAAAACAAAAAAACTTGATGGTTCCTGTCATGTTTGTTTTCCATAACTGATGCCTCTTTGTTTTGATGCAGCTTTTTGTGCCTCAACAGAGCAAAATTAAAGTGGTAACTTAAGATTGGACTTCAGAATAAATTTGGCTTTCACTCCCTTGAAATTAAAGCTGCCTTTTGGTAATAAATTTTTAAAAAGGCTAAACAGAGTTAATTTTAGTTTGTGGGAGAAAGCTAAATAGAGTTATTTTCTTATTTAAACTAAATGATTTCTGAAATTAAGCTCATGACATTTCCAGTGATTGGTAGCTGCACTTTACTGATTGTGAAAAGCTATGGGAGATGAGGGTAGAAGAGATTGAAATGTATTTGTGGGCATAAGTTTTATGCATGTCTGAAGGGTTCTCCCCTCTTGTCTATGAGTACACATATTTTTCTAAGTCTAGTTTTTGAAGATAGGCTGATAAAGTACTCAAATTGAGAGTTGGGTTTCAGAATTAAGGAAGTGTAAATGATGGGCTTGAGTTTAAATGTATTTTAGAAATGGAATAAACTTTTAGTTCATTAGAACTTCCAGAGTCCAGAGGATCCATGGGGGAGCGTGTACTAAGCCTTTAAAGATTAGGTGATTTAATGGCACAGAGGCTTCTACATCATTAGAAGCTATTACTCATTTGCAGTGAGTACCTATCTGGCTTTTTCCGTGATAGATTTTGATTGCGATATATTTGGCCATTCATTTGACACCTAAAAGAAAATGATTCACTTCTTTCGAAAGATACAAGGTGTTTCATTACCTGATGCTTCCTGCAAATGTCTATTCCGAGAGTCCCCGGGTGTCTCTCACTATGGCACACCCACACCAGCTCCCTCGTGCCTGCTTTTCCCTGCATTTGGAAAGCCTGCTCTGGATCCTTTTCTTCTTCTTTTTTTTTTCATTTTGTTTCGTTTCTTTCTTTTTTTTTTTTTTTTTTTGTTTTGTTTTGTTTTTTTTTTTTGGTCTTTTTGAGACAGTTTCACTGTGCAGCTCAGACTGGCCTTGAACTCACTTTGTAGCCCAGGCTGGCCTCAAACCTCAAACTTGCTACAACTCTGCCTCAGCCTCCTAAGTGCTAGGATTATAGGCTTGCACTCCCATGCCTGGTCTGCTCTGGATTCTCGAGGCAGATTCTTGTCCAAGAGCGGCTGAGAGGGTGGAAACCAGACTTGAATAAAGGTTCCTCTGCACTGGGCCTGCATGTATTCTGTGTCATCTCATTGCTGTCCTCTGCCCCATCAGGGATGCATCATTACCTCCATTTTAACAAGGCATGGTGGTTGCAGGTCACAAAGGTGGCAAGTCATAAAGCCAGAGCATGGCCCCTTTTTTTTGGCTTTGAAGTTCACACTCTGTGTCTGCAGTGTGCCACAAAAAAGGGGCAGCCCACGGGGCTGGCATTTCTTGATTCATATGGCTTCAGTTTTCTGTTAGTCATGGGGAGCTGAAATCTTTCATTCTGCTCTTTTAAACACCTCCCCAATTTTCTTATGTATATGAGATTTGAGCTAGGTGGACAGTAAATATGGGGAAAGCAACATGGTTTTCTGAGCAAAATAATCTCTATACTTGTACAGTGTAGGTGTGCCTTCTATTATTAAATATAAACATGGGTTTGCCTGTCTTTGCAGAAAGATCCACTTCTTTATCATAGGGGTTTTTTAAAAAGTAATAACTACCTCCAAGCATATATTTTGATTTATAGTTAACTACTCCAGGAAGGCTAAGACTTTGCATTCTGGCCTTCCCTTCGAAGGTGAGAAAGCAGGTATAGGGTCGTGTGACTGACCGTGGCAGAGCTGGCACGTGAAGCCCAGTGTGTCGGCTCCTGATCCATCCGGTGCTCCATTGTTACCCTGCCTTGTCTCAGTAGTTGGGGGATGACCATGCTTACAAAGGGCATGGAAGTATAATGTGTTTGGGGGTAGAGCACTTGGATACAGAAATGTCCATGGGTCTTTAGGCGATACAGATGCGATACAGTTCCTTTGGCACATGAAGAAAGACTTTTGTTTTTCTTTGGTGTTTATCTCAGTGCTTGTGGGAGAACCTGGGTGAAGCCAGATGTCAGTGTATTGCGTGGACAGCCACCCAGCTTGGGAAAGGACGCTAGCCCCATGAGCTTCATTTAGTTTGATGAGCCGGGGGGCAACTGCATCATTAGATATGTATACCTTAGGGTAAAAAGCATTGTCCTTGTCCAGAGATCCTCTTGAAATACAGCCACGTGGTGACATTGTAGTAAGTTGGAGTTTGCAGCCTCCTGTGGAAGTGAAGGTATTCCCAGGAGTACAGTGTCCAAGGGCCACTTTTCCCTTCTCCCCAGGAGCACCCATGGCCAAGTGTGACTTTACACACTGCGCTCAGAGTTCACTGGATTTGAGATTAGGAAGCTCTGCTCTGTTCTCCAGCCAGTTGGCTGGTCTGTGGCTCACCTTGTGACCTCCAGGTTCTGCTTTTCTCCTTGTAAAATGGAGGAATTGCATTCGTCTCAGAGTATCTACAGATGTCGCACACTGGAAACCTGGTGCGTGGTAGGAGTACATTATTCTTCCACCAGCTTTGTTAAACACTGGCTAGTTTCTGTTGAAGATGGATAATACAATATTTGAATTACTCTTCTAGAAACAAGTTAATCTTATACACTTTATTAATTTATGAACCTTTCTTAATTTTTTTTGTCTTTTTCCTTTTTATCGGTACCAGGGATCGAACTCACGACCGCCTGCTTGCAAGGCAGGTGCTTATGCCGCTGAGCGAAATCCCCAGCCCCGAACCTTTCTTAATATTTTGAAGAAATTAATTTTTCTTTCTATAAAATAGATATGCTTTATGTAATAAGCTACCAGTAAATTTTCAAATACAATTTATAAAAATGTGGTCATCAGATCAACTTAAAATACTAGCAGCGTCTCCTTGTTTACCCCCCAGAATGTCACAGCATTCTTGAAAAGGACATGGCTAGTGCATTTCTTCCATTTCTGAAAACCCTTGGGTTTGCTAGCTATTAAGACAGATTATAAATCTTTCGTTTAAAGAGAGGAAAGACGGGAAGGAAAGAGAGAGAGAGGAAGAAGAGGATGGTGATGATGATACTTGCACATGGAGGTTGAGGTTTTAAAGTACACAGATCTGGGTTGTGACAGGGAGAGCCTTACCTTGCAAAGCTTTTCTTACCTTTCTATTTTTTTTTTTTTTTTATCAGTACCGGGGATCGAACTTACGACTGTACCCTTGTAAGGCAGGCACGTATGCCACTGAGCTAAATCCCCAGCCCCAGGTTAATCTAATATTCAAGAGACCTTACATTATGTTTCAAAAGTTCAGGCTGTGACTTGTTAGGCTGTTTTCTTTAGAACTTTATTGGGTCCTTAAACAAACAAACATACTCGCTTTTGTAAACTCAGGTAGTAAAGCAACAGTTGGATAAAGGCCCAGCCTAAGTGTTTTGTTACAGTGACATGTCCTGTGGATGGCCTGATGGTTTGGAGTCCATTTAGTAGCACCCCAGGACCGGTGCCTGTCATAGCAGGCGGCCCAGAGGTGAGGGCCAGGTGCCCTGTCTGTAGTAATTGGCCCACAGTGCCATGGTTTGGGCTCTTGTTCCTCAGCACACATCGCCCACTGGAGCTGGCTTTGAATTAATTAGATCTGGACCTCAGCAGAATAGGTACACTTAAATGGAGATTGTAGAAAGGAGATTGGGTTTTCCCCCCAGAGCTCTTACGTGCAAGGAAAATAAAAAACTTTTTGAATTAATGAATTGTTTGAGGCAGTGGGAGGTCTCCCCATTTGTTCTAGCTTTACAAAATTAAGTCTATTTTTTGAACCATATTGTAGGAGAACATTTTTAAGGTAGATAGTTTCTGAAAATGTCTTTGTGGTAAGCTCTTGGTAGTTTTGGAATTTCTTTCTAATACTGCAATTTAATAATGAGAGAGTTTTCCATTAATATTCCAAACCATGTTCACTGGCAGATACAGCAGGTGAGGTGGTAAAATTATAGGGCCATCAAAAATACTTATGCTTCCTGTAATATGATATTAAGTTTAATATTTTTATAACCTTCACTGAATTCTAATTTCACTACAGTAGCAAGCATGCTTCCATTTGCAGTTCAATTATGCACTTTGGTTGCTAGTATACCAAGCAAATTAGAAATACAAAATGTCTGTGGGAGGGGCATTGGAAAGATTCATTAAAAATAGCAATGTTTAGATACAGATGCACTTTACTAGGGTACCCTGGGACTCTCCCAGTTGAGAATCTGTATTTTAGATTAGAATTTAGAGAATTAAGGAACAATATTCATTCCTAACATATAATCCTCTGTAGCATTCTTTTGAATCACATTTAAAGCATAAAATGCTTCCAGTAAAATCCTGAGGATAGAGACTGAGTATCAGCAACTGTTCTTGGATACAAACGTTGGTTGGTTAGTGTAGTTGGGCAGTACGGCAATGGGTAATTAATCCTTTTGAGATTTTGCCGAGGAGTGTAATGTAGCTGTTCGTTGGCCCCGGACCCGCCAGCCGTGGGTGCAGCTGTCAGACAGTTGGTACCAGGGTCGAGGTGTGCTTCATCAGGAGCAGCCTGGTGTGTGTCTGTCTGGCGCTACCCTGGAGCTGGGTGGGGAGTGGGGCTTCTAAGCAGCATTCTTCTTCCAGTGACACTTCGCTCTGGAGTTTGTCATAA